AGTTGTATAGAATGGTATTTTATAGGTTCCTGCGAAATATCAGCTCAATCGGAGGAACGTAGCCCATAAAAAGACCAAAATACCCTCACTATTTTATGATGTTTCCAGTGTTCCGTTTTAGTTAGTTCATCCAGTTTATCATGTTTATTCACAAGGATTCGTGCTGATTTATCCATTTGCCAAAACATGAAAGTTTTAGTATTCTGTCTTAGCTTTTCAACATCTACAAGAACACCTTAAACGGACCTTGGTAGACTGAGATATGACCATTCTAGTGCAGTGCGGTTAATTAGCCGTATAGTTGGAAGTTGGCTCTGTAAATTGGGAATTTGACCAGGTTACACTGGAAATTTGACTAAGTGACCTTCATGAAAGTTGTAGGCTTTCGTCTTAGCTTCGAAACGGTATAAGTTTCACACCAATCTGATACGCGTAGTCTCAGATGTGCTCTTTCCACAAAAACCCATCAAATCTGTCTTTTGTAAACTTCATTTCCGCATTCGTTATTAGTTGATTTATGTTCTTGTATTGTCTTGAGCCTATGGAACGGCTATTGAATGCATTTGTGTTGTGTATGAACTTGGGCTTGAATGAGAAATATAATGAAGCCAAAATGGTTGGAAAATTAGGTAAACACAAAGGGCATGCTGTTCAAATTTTCGCTCGAGAACTAAGTTTCTATTTGAACTGATTTGAACTGGTATACTTACGTTTGGTCTATGAAACCCTAGTTATTTTTGTCCACGGGTCCAAATGTCCTCGTTTCACTTTAAAGTCTTTTTGTACGTTCTACTCAATAATTGTCGAGTTTCTTTGATTGCACCTAATTGTTGTGCTAGATGGTCTGTAATATTCTTTCTCTTTTAATTTAGGTTTTCTCGGTGACTGAGGATAATATCTGGATGGATATTTTACCCGTTGTTTTGCGTACATAGGTGAGTGTTTCTTGTTTGTTATATGCTCCATGACTTCATGACTTGTTGTTGTTGTTTGATGATATGTTAAGTGTTTTCAATGATTTCCAAAATGAATTTTCTAGGCGAGCGTATACTTTATCGCGTTCGACCTAAATGAAATGTGAAATTTTCAATGATTTAACGATTGACACATTAGTTGCGCATGATATAAGCCTTTTGGCTGAATTGGGCCCTGCCCTTCGTTACCGATCGACTAGAGCCAGAAGCGGACTCGGTCGGGCGATATGGTGACCCTGAGTGAATTTGGTATACTCGAGTATTACCTTGTAGTCCGGCCACGTCCGGATGGGTGGAGTCCGATCAATGTCCGGAAGGGGATGAATGAACGAACGAAGGCACGAGGGTTTTACTTCTCAAAAAGGAAATTTTCAAATAATTGGAGGAATAAGGGAAAATGTCAGGGGAACGAACGAACGAACGAATAGCTCCATGTGAGCTCGTATCCTTTTAATCAATGTGTTACTATCGCTTTTCATTGTACAAATTTCTTGAATTATTGATACTCCATGTTTAACGTATTGAATTGACTATCTGACTATGTGTTTGGAACCTCACTGAGCTTTTAACTCACCCCTTTAGTTTTGTTTTCCTTAACAGGGGACGGCGAGCAGGATGAGAGCATAGACTAGCCTAGTCTAGTTCTTTTGTTTTTTTTTGTAATGGTTCTCGCCCTAGTGCTTGGCACGGGTTGGACGTATGAAGGATTGAGAACCTTTGTATATTCGATCTTTATACTCCCTTTTGAGATGGCAATGTATATAAGTTCCGCTTTAAGTTTGAATCGCTGCCCTATTTATTCTTGTGATTTATTTCAATTTTAATTGAGGACTGTAGTAAACGACTGAGTCCCGACGAGAGCTGGGCAGGCGACCCGCCGAACCCTGGGGTACGCCCTAGGGGGAGGTGGGGCTGTCACATATTGGCTAAGAAGTTTCTTAATCAATCCGCCCCTAAACCAGTCAACTCCAAAGTTATAAACTCTAATTTCATAGTTGATCTAGCAATAATTGTCTGTCTAGCTTACTTCCATACTACTGCACCACCACCAAGGGTGAATACATAACCACTAGTGGATTTTGTCTCATTTGAATCTGAAATTCAATTAGTATCACTGTACCCTTCTAATACAATGGGAAATTCACAATACACGATACGATAATTCATGGTACTTCTCAAATATTTCATTAGTCTGACTAATTCAAATCAATGCTCACTATTGGGATTGTGAGTATATCTACTCAATCTACACACAACATAAGCTATGTCAGGTCTTGTGAAATTCGTCAAATGCATCAGACTTCCAATAATCTGAGCATATTTAGATTGAGCAATTGGGTCACTATTATTTTTCTTTAATTTAGTGTTAGCATCATAAGGAGTACTTACAGGTGTCACATCATAATTTTCAAGCTTCTTAAGAAATTTTTTTGTATAATGTTCTTGTGACAACATTACACTATATTTTCTCCTTATGATTTTAACACCTAATATCATTTTAGTTTCACCCAAATCTTTCATATCAAAATTAGAAGTTAAGAAATATTTAGTACTATTAACAATCTCTATACTTGTACCAAATATAAGCATGCCACCCACATATAGACTAAGTATCACATATTGATTATTCACAACTTTAGTATATACATATTTATCCATTTCTACAGACGAAAAATTGTCGTTTATCAATACTTGATCAAATTTCTCATGCCACTGTTTAGAAACTTGTTTTAGGCCATAAAGAGATAAAATTAATTTACATAATTTATTTTTTTGTCCGGATACAACACATCCTTCAGGTTGAAACATATAAATTTCTTCTTCTAAATCGCCATTTAAAAACGCTGTTTTGACATCTATTTAATAAACAACAGGTTTATGGATAGAATCTAAGGCAAATAAAACACGAATAGAAGAAATTCTTGTTACTGGTACAAACGTGTCAAAATAGTCAATATCTTGTTTCTGAGAAAACCTTTTGCTACTAGACGAGCCTTGTATTTTTTTACAGAACCATCAGAATTATATTTTCTTTTAAAAAACCATTTGCAACCAATAGGTTTTGCACCAGGGGGTAAGTCTACCAAAGTCCATGTTTTATTTTTTCAAAATAGAATCTATTTCTGATTTAATTTTTTTCTTTCCAAAACTTGCAATCAAAAGAAGAAATTGCATCAGAATACGTTAAAAGATCATTGTCAACAAGAAAAGTTTGAAAATCATTCCCATAGAAAAATTCTTTTCTTGGCCTTTTACTCTTTCTCAACTTTTTTTCATTAAAGGTTGTCTCCTTATTTTTTTTTCAACAAGTGCATGAGAAATTTTATTTGACAGTGAAAAATATGTTCAAAAAATTTGGCATTCTTTGTCTCAATGATTGTATTACAATCAAGTACGTCACTTCTCAAAACAAAGAAGAAGAAGACTTGTGTCTCAGTGCTGGTATGATCGCACCCAAACGTGTGTATTAGTGCTGGTATGATCGTGTTGCACCAAGGGGTAAATAGGGGAGATATAAACGAGAAGAAGACTCGTGTCTCCCTCGTGTCTTTTAACTAGCCCAATGTTTCTAAATATATAGTACATGAAGTGAATTGTTTAGAAAAGAAGCTTTTCTGTTACACTATCCCTCCCAAAACAACAGTAGAAATCAGAGCAAAGAAAGGAGAATGCAGTACAATGGAGTAGCATAAATCACTATGAAATTTATCATGTTGTGTAATATATGCTTATAAAACTGCATAGAGTTTACTCAACATTTACCAAAATCCAACCATTCAGATGACAACAGCAATAAGGTGCCAACCTATTTGCTTATTAAAATAATCAAACTACAAAAATAGTGGATCTCATGGAGTGTCATCTCACATGCTCTTGCATTCAATTATTTGAATCAAGTGCTTTCGTCCCATAATCAAGAAATAAATGCAAAAGAAATAAAAAAGAAAAAACTCACGATATCACATGCCCTTGCTGCATAAAATATAAATTGGAGTTCAAACTTCAACCTTGCAGCCATATATTGTATTTTCCATTGAACAAATAGTCTTATGTAGTGCAAACGGTACTTCACATGATCAATCTATTTCTTGGCAGTTATATTGAATTTATAGAAGAAACTAGATCTAATAGAGACATTAAGTAGTAACTCTTCATAAGGCATAATTTTTGTACAATATTAGCTTCAATGAACAGAAACCATGCAAGAATCAAACTCTCACATATAAAGTTGTGAGGTGTTAACATTGCTAGAAGCCATAGTTTCTTAGATTGTTGGAAAAACAGCCAAAAATAATGTTAACTAAAATTAATATGATGTAGCTTGAGTCGTGTTTTATAGCACTGTCCTAAGAAACTATTTCAAGAGGTCGAAATGTTTCCCCAGGATTAAACAAGACTTTTTCCTATTATGAATAGGAAGGATCAGAACTAGCAAATGAAATGTAAATCCAGTAGAGTAAGAAGAAGAAGAAGTCGAATAGGAAGCTGACAGGAAGGTATCTACTTCCAGGGGAGAATTGGGAATAAAGCTGACAGGAAAGTATCAACTGTCAGGGGGAGAAGAGTTGGTGTGTTTTTCCAAGGGAAAATAGCACCTATTTATACATTATAAATCTTGAGAGGTCCTATTCATTTTTCGATGTAGGGCAAAATTTTTGTCCTATTCATTTTCCGATGTGGGACAAAACTTTTGAAATACACTTATATTTTACAACAAGGTTTACTACATAGTTGTTCAATTTCACCAAGCATTGTGTATGTTTTCCCACTTCCTACCTGCATTGTTATCTTTCTTGTCAGAATAAGCCATTAACTTGAACCAAAATGTAAAGAAAAATTAGCAAGTTAAGGCAATTTAACTTTTAATTCACATGGGTACAGGGACATGGTTTAATTTATTTTAACAGCCAAAACCCAAAGAAATGATGATAGTCTTCGATTAAAAAACTCTGGTAGGAAAATCAACACTCTAGACCTAGTAAGATGCCTGCTGACTTTACAAAGACTGGAACTTTCTTTTCATACCTGCCCATAAGCAAACATCCAACAATTGTATCCAGATAAGCAATTCTCCACCATTGGCACTCCAATTATCCTGAAAAGTGTTTCCTGCGAAAAGAATACAAGAATTACAATTGCAATAGCTTAAAACTGTATCCAGCTTCAGAAAAGCTATAATCAGCTTCAAGATATCAATACTGGTCTACCAAATTTTTAGAAACCTGGTCTACTGCTTCACATGCAACATGATCAAATGCAAATCTTGTTTCAGGTTCCCCAGTCCAGGTGATACTTTGTGCTGAATCCTGCTTTAAGCACCTAAAATAACCATCAGTGCTTTTCTCTGCACTACTGAGAGGCCGCACTCATACCAAAACCTTTATGAATCCAACCGCTAATTAATGCTAACCTCCATAATTACTATGAACTGATGCAAATGAATTGAGAAAATAATTTGTATCTACTCATCAAGAATTAAAAGAATCTGTCCCACAGGATTAAACTGAAACAATGTAGAATTGAATAGAATCTATTTCATAGAAATAAGCTGATTACCTGTACATTGTTCCCTGACCAGAAAGATGAATCCTTCTTGGTTTCAAAATGATGAACCTCAGTAGTATTCATGGAAGAAACACTAGTGCTAAAACTGGTAGCCTTTCAGGCAGAGTAGAAATCTTGGACTTCCAAGCACCACAAGTGACCTGTGAAGGTTTTCTAGCCAGACAAGACCATGAACTCAAAGGCTTGCTCAAATTACTCTTGGTCCTATTCGAGTAATCAGACCAGGGAATTATACTGCTCATATCAATTTTCCCCTCATCCTTTAGTCCCGTAGCAGTCGAACTGGAAGAATCACTTCTTTCTCGCCTATTGGGTGTAATCTGCGGACACAATGAGTCCTTTGTATCCGTTGGAGCATGCCCAGTTTCTTCGAGGTTTCTTGATACTTGCCAGAACTTCAATACTTCTTCGGATGATCTCGCAACATTGTAGTACAGATTTCAGCACAATAATATGAATCATAACAAGAGTAACAATCAGAGAATGGACTCTGGATTGTCTACCTGAAAGAGGGATTAGAAATACACGAATTATATAGAAAAAAGGCTGACTTTATATTGATTTGAAATTCAGCAACAAGGATAATGAACTAACCAAAGTTTGAATTAGTTTGATCACAATGGCTACTCTCCAATAGTCAACCAAGAAAATTGAAATGGCAACTTAAAACTTATATCTACAAATAGCTAAACACAAATTAAAAAAAAAAAATCAAATCAATGCATCCTCACATTCAGCACATGCTAGCATAGGAGTGCAAACGAACCAAGTAGTTCGTGAGCTAATCGGTCAAAGGATCGATTTGACTTAACGTTGATCGAGTTGAAGTCGATCTCAAGTGGTTTGTTTAGTCAAATGAGTCAAGTATTGATCATGTTTAGTTAAACTTGATAACTCATCAAGCCTTACGCTCGAGGTTGGTCGAGCCAAAATGAGTCAAATTCGAACATCTTAGAAACCTTAATGAATCAAACTCAATCTGAAGAATTTCAAACTTGACTGAGTCCAGCTCAATCTTGAACAATGCTATGTCAAGTCAAATGCGAGTTCGAACATAGCCCTGCTCGGAATCGACTCGACTCATTTGCACCCCTATGCTAGCATGTATTAGAAAATAAAACAAAAAAGATAATTCCAAAAAAAAGACTTACTCCTAGGCATATCAGAGGGGAGATAGAAAAGGCAATGGCATATTCTGGTCCTATATATCTTTACTTCTTTGATTGAAGTTGAAGAAGAGAGAGGACAGAGAAAAAATTAAAGAGCGGAGTAATTGAACCAATTGTCTATTGAATTCTCAAGAAAATGGAACAGACCAATTGTCTTTTTGAATTCTCAAGAAAATAGAATATAGTAAAAGTATCAAACACACATGAAAAACAATAAATTCAAGAAACACAGATGACACTCTGAGGACAAAAATATTTGTGCTGTAATACTAGTCCCACATTTACTTTCCACCATATTTTGCATTTATTGTTAAACATTGTAATTGAAAGAATTTGTTTTATAGTCAAGTATAACTGGAGATTTTATTGAGGCTTGGAAATTGATCCAAGTAAAAATTGTACAGTAACGCCTAGGCATTGAAACTTTACTTTTGAAATTATTACTTGTTTCTTCATCCTACAATATTCGAAGATATATAACAAATCCTGGATTATTGCAGTAGTAGTCTGATCAATCACAAAGTGTAATGGTTTTGCAGTAGTAGTCTAATCAATAAAAGCATGTCTTCATGTAATCTTGCAAAATAATTTTCAATCCCATACTTTGTTAAGATTTGAAAAGAGAAAATTAAAATATTGACTTTGATAGTATTTAATTAAGCATGCATTATTAAGTTTCTAAAGAAAATAAGCATTTATCCATGAATAAGAAATTTTTCCTCTTCTTCGTTATTTTCTAAAAATTTCACTTGTCGCACCCCATTTTTTAAGAAAAATAATCTATAGTGTTAAAAAATGAGTTTTTTGATTTTTGATTAAAAATGTATTTTGTTTTTATTAAAAAATGAGTAAGAATGTGTTTTTTGATTTTAGAAAATAAATAAAGAAAAGGGCCTAAAATGGGATTTAGAAAGTGCGACGGTTTTGGGTCCAAAATAATAGTCTAAAAAGGGTTTTAAGAAAAATTAAGATTCGCCATTTGGTATCGAGTTTAGGTGTACCAAATCACTTTAAAAATGAATGTTTAAATAAAAAATAAATAAAACCCTTTTTAGATGACTCCGGGTCTTTTACAAGAAAAGGGTTCGGGAGTCACGGCTAATGATAAGAGTATATTTTACGTATTTTTAGTGTGCTTTATTAATTAGTTTTGGTGTGTTTTATTTAGTTTTATAAATAATTAACTAAGATTCTAGTGAAAATATGCATTTTGTGGTTAAAGTGTGAAAATTGCATTTCTATTGATTTTTATGGTAAAAACTTCATATTTTGTAGGTTTAATGATTCAATCATCAAATGAAGTGCATTGAGAAGATATTTGGATGGTTGAAGATGGATTAAAGTGGTGAAAATAAAATATGAAGTGTAAAAGGGAAAATGCAATTTGAATCAAGAAAAGTCAGCTTTGACAACTCTGACACGTTTTGGTATTTTAACTATATCTGGAGCTACACAAATTGGATTGAGGTGATCTTTATACCATTTTGAAGCTAAGAGATACATCTAAATTTGGTATGAAGACATCAGAATCTAATTCAGCCGTTTTCATTGTCCAAAAGTTGAAATACCAAAATTCAACTCAGCTGAGAAATGCAACTTGAGAACAAAAGAATCAAACAAAAGTCAGCTTTGGCATCTGTTGGTATTTTGGCTATATCTTGGGCTACATACATTGGATTCAGATGATCTTTATATCATTTTAAAGCTAAGAGACATATCTACATTTGGTATGAAGACATCAAAGTCCAATTCGGCTGCTTTCCTGGTCAAAATGTCAAAATACAGAAGTAAAAGTCTGCTGCTGAGAGCTGAAAACGCGGAATTGACCAGTCAGTGGTATTTTTATCATATCTCGGTCTAGACAGCTCTAAATTGGATGATTCTTGAGGCATTGGACAGCTATTTCAATGGACTACAACTTCTATGTTTTGTACAAGAGCTAATTCAGCCGTCATCATAGAGAAAATAGCAGTTGAAGTAGCCAGATTCTGGTCAGAAATAGCTGCTGGTACAACCTGTTTTCTCCTTCAACAATTTACAGCTATGGATGAACGTATGACAACCAATTAGCAGCTGTAAAAGGGATGTTTCAAGCCTCATTTCCTGATTGCATTCATCTATATATAGCCATGGACTTACAGGATTCAAAATAACTTGGGAGAAGGCTAGAGAAACTCACCAGAAATGTGGTTTTCACTAGAGTTTCCTTGGTTCATTAGTATAGTATAGGTAGAGTAGTTTATCCATCTTGTATTTGTAGTTAGATTTGAATGAATATTGGAGGGGCAAAGATGAAGAGGTTGATCTCATGTGACAAGGTTGATATCTCTTCTACTACTTCCTCTCTTTTATTGGATTTCATGTTTAATTATAATACAAGTTGGCTTTGTGTTTTTATTATGTTTAGTTAAAGTTTATGCCTAGAGTTATGGTTGAACTTGCTATATTTTGTTAATGATGTTTATTTGGTTATTTGGTCATATTATTTTGAGCAAGCTATTTATCACTTTTGGTTATTTAATCATGATTAACTGGCCATTAATTATGATAATCTTAAGGTGTTAAGTTTGCAATGAAAATTGGAATTTAACACTAGTTCAAAGAAGTGATAAGCCTAGGGAGTACACTCACGAAAGTAGAGGTGCACCTATGCGGCTTAAGTGACTTGTTTCATGTAATTTCATAGAAGAAATGAACTTGTAGTTAATTTCATAACCACGAGAGTAGGTATGGCTTAATTACAAGTATAGTTGATTCACTACGAAAGTAGGTTTCACATATATTAGGAAATTACGCCATAACTAATCAAGATAATAGCATTCACTTAACCGATAATCTCATTTGCAAGAGTAGTAAGGAATTCCATATCTCTAGGAGCTTTCTAGTGTTATTTTCTTAAATTTTATATTTGTGGTAGTCTAAATAATAAAGGAGTTTGAAAACATCGGTAATTGCATTCTTCCCTGTGGGATCGACCCTTAATACCCTATACTCGCTCACGATTCGTATACTTGCGATAAATCGCATGTGGGGTATTTAGGAATTTATAAATGTAAAACTTGATTGGGATGAGCTTAATATTATATGTATACCCCGCGCACGTCAGCTAAAGAAATGAAAAGCAAAGATTTGATTTAAGGTACCCTTTCAATCTAACCAAGGTTAGTTGTGAGATTTAGTCGAAAATTTTTCTAATATAACCTATAAAATTTATCACATTTGTATGTTTCTATATGGATGCAAATCTAGACCTAATAGATATCGAGAGGGTCAAAATACATCTTTAAAGTTCATTTGGCACAAATCACATTAATTGTGATGCCCAAAAATGATTCTTAGAAGAGGTCACGAATATGCAAAAGATGAGACTCGAAGAAAAGGAAAAATTATAACATATAAATATACATGGCCTAAAAGAAAGGAATACAACATAACGGGTATGGAGGACTAAGATTCGTGACTCAATTTTCCTTTTTATAGAGAGGATACGAGCGTGCTCAGGCTAAGTAGCCATACTCGTTCATTTCCCATATTTGAAGGACGGCTTTCCCTAACCTAATCAAGCAAATCGACTATCCTACTTTCTAATTTCCTAAATGGAATGCAAGTCTAAATGTCATGTTTCAAACACATAGGGGTAAAGGAAATAATTTATAGGGAAAAATCATGCAAGATGAGAAAA